TGGGATTGGAGGCCCGGTAGTTTGTTTCGCATTGCCAGTAGTAAGTCAGACCCCTTCAGGGTGGGAACTGCACTCTGCCAGGGCTGCCTATTGTCACCGATTTTGTTCATTACTTTTTATGGACAGAATTTCTTTCGAGATTCTGTCTCTGATCTTCACAGATGGGCAGTTGTGGCTGAGTGATTAGAGCCATCGTCCTCCAATGCGAGAGTTGGGGGTTCGAATCCACCAGCAGTCACATGCTGAAGTGTCCCTGGGCAAGACACTGAACCCATCATAGCCTCTGATGTGTGTCCCATCAGTGTATGAATGTGATCTAAAGCACAGATTAGTCTCATAAGAATGATTTGTTCAATTATCTTTGTAGAGATCTAGTAAAGTGCTGTATGAATGGGTAAATGAGGACACAGATTGTAGTGTAAAGTGCTTTGAATATCTTGAAACAAGATAGAAAGGCTCTATATAAGTACAGTGCATTTACCATTTACAGTCCATGATGTGGTCCTGTTGCTTCATCATTCTCTGATCGTCAGCTCTCACTGAAGCAGTTCACAGCCAAGTGTGAAGTGGCTGGGATGAGAATCAGCACCTCCAAATTTGAGGCCATGGTGCTGAACCAGAAAAGGGTGGATTGCTCTCTTCCGGTTGAGGGTGAGGTTCTGCCTCAAATGGAGGAGTTCAAGTATCTCAGGGTTGTGTTCACTAGTGAGGGAATAATGGAGCATGAGATAGACAAACGGATTGGTGCAGCACCTGCAGTATTGCATACTCTGTACCGGTCTGTTGTGGTGAAGAAGGAGTTGAGCTGTTAGGCAAAGCTCTCTTTTTACCAGTCGGTATAACTTCCTTCCCTCACCTATAGTCATGAGCTCTGGTTAGTATCCAAAAGAATGAGATTATGGATACAGGCAGTTGAAATTAATTTCCTCTGCAGGATAGCTGGACTCTCCCTTAGAGATAGGTTGAGAAGTTCACTTATCCAGGAAAGAATTGGAGTAGAAGCACTGTTCCTGCACACCAAGAGGAGCCAGGTGAGGTGGAGGCATCTGGTAAGGATGCCCCCTGGGTGCTTCACTAGGGGGGTGCTTCAGACATGTCCAACTGGTTGGAGACCCCAGGGAGGACCCAGGACATTCTGGAGAGACTATGTCTCTCATTTGGCCTGGGAACACCTTAGAATCCTTCCTGAAGAGCTGGAAGAGGTGGCTGTGGAAAGATAGGTCTGGGCCTCCCTGCTCAAGCTGCTGCCCCCACGAACCGACTTCAGAACAAGCAGAACATGGATAACTGGATATCTGGTAAACACCAGCTTTGTATCAGGCTGTATTATGTAATGCTACCCAAAATTTTTATAAATTATGATAGTAAGTAATTTCTTTGTATCCCCTTTCAAACCATGGTTTAATGTTCAGGTTCCTTTGGCTCTGAAGTTGGAGCTGGTTCACCAGCTGAGCAGTCAGTTTCAGCTGGTGATGAAGGGCTGCAACGTGGAGAATGGAAAGCCGTCCCCTTGGTCTCCAATGCTGGGCTGCAGCCTGCTGTGATGCCCTGGTCTTTTCCTGACTGCAACCATCACACCTCAACTCCTCAGACTTTGGCTTACCCAGCCACCTCCACCCTCACTGCTGATGTGTACATGCAAACTCTGTGCCCCAGCTACACCATGTTGACCTACACACATGCACCACTGCTTACTAACTTTGGGGTAAGTAAATGGTAAATGTACTGTACTAATACAGCATCTTTCTATCTAAATATACTGAAAGCTCCTTACAACATAATCTGTGCCCTCATTTACCCATTCATACAGCACTCTATTAAGGTTCAAGTTTCATGGTTCAAGGTTCTTTATTGTCATAAGCATCAAATGTGGTACATGAGGTGGCACAAAATTGTTTACACAGGATCCCAGTTACATCCAACAATATCAAAAATATAAATATTAAAAGAAACAGTAATAAGGATCTAAGATATAAACTAAGAAATATGCTAAATAAAGAAATACACTAAACACTAATAGTGCAAAACAATACACTGAACAACAGCAGCACAAATAATTTATCTG